TAGTAAAGACAAGCCTTGTGTACAAGTCTCCTATCTGACATGTTTAACCAAGATATCTCTTTTAATTTATAAGAAATATGGCTGCGTCTAGAAATGCCAAATATAAATTGCAAACAAGCATTCTGAACGACTTGTATTCTTTTATTATCGTAGTCTTCCATATGTTAGGAAACATAGAGTTGTCAATACAAAAGTTACATAAATGTGTAAAAATTGGCAAGGTAAGGGCAACACATTTTAAAATTATTGGAATATTGTCGACTCCAGTGGCGTTACTGGAAATTTCATTAATTTGCTCTATGCATGACTGTTTCAAATTGAAAATGTATTTTTACACGTATTGTTGTAATTGTCAATTAAATCTAAGTTTAACTCAGAAACAGGAACAGAAGTTACAAAAAGTCATTAATAGCATTTACATCACGTAATTCGACTGGAATATTTGGTTTGTATAATATTAAGCTTTTTAAGTTCCTTGCGTGTGGAATTGATTCCGGAAGTTTGTAGTTTATATTTCCCTTTGTTTTTCATTTTTAATAGCTATTTTGTAAAGTTGCGAAGTTGTTTATAATAATTCCAACTGGCAACTGTCCGAATGTTCTTAAATATTTTCATAGCTTTGTCTCTTAGTTTCATTAGTAGTCGTAAATTATCTGTCATCCAGGACGCGTACTTATTATAACGACATTTTCGTTTTTTAACAATGTACATTCATTAAATTTAATAATAAATCATTTAAAAAACTCACTTTATCATCAATATTATTAATTCCAACAGTGTAATATAAAGGCAGCTTACATATGTCAAAGTTTCGACATTTACTGAACGAAAATCCCTAAAAGTAATGAATGTATTATCATTATTTAGAGGAATACACTGTATATCTAGATCTGCAAAAATAAGACAATGATCGCTAATTTGATCCATATTTTCCACACCTTTGCCTGTGATCAAGATGTTATTACTTACGATAATTAAATCAATTAAGGTTGTAGAAGACGCTGTAATTCGCATAGGTTCCATTACCTATTTAGGACAACTCCATAACAGAAAACGAGTAATTCGGTTTGTCAGCAGCGGCATCACATTTAAGTAAATCTATATTGAAATCGCCAACACAACAAAAATAATCACAAGGAAGAAGCTGTAGTATAGTTTCTTCTAAACCCATCGGAAAATCATCACACTTTAGACTCGGAGGCCTGTAAACAACACCAAATATTATAGCTATACTATTAAATTTTATTCTAACCCGTACTGATGAGAAAAAAATCTCTAAATGGTTCTGGGAAACTTTATATGTGAGTAAATAGCATAATCTTTCTTCCCGTCTTTACAAACTACTCAAAAATTCCACAAACAGATAATGCAAAACCTATAAATTGGGTTTTTTTGTGAGTTATGTATAATGGTCGATGAGTACATCAGTAGATCTTAGAAGGTAATCAACACATTCTATTAGAAATGACCTCCATATACAGGGTGATTCAGCTTAAATGACCCACTTGACCCCTCTTGACAGGCAATCTATCATAATGCACAAAGCAATTATTCCTTGATTCATACTAGAATTTTGAAAGTTTCATGAATCAAAGTGCGCTGTTCGAAAAATATCGAAAGTGCCACTGTCACACGCACATGCAACAATACATTCAATCAGTGGCAATTTTTCGAATAAACGCAATTTTATTTTATAGAAAAGGAATAAGTAAATCAAAAATTAATTATTTAATAGGCGATGTTCTATGTGGCCACCCGCACTCTGCTCACAAGCCACGATTCTCTTCACAAAAGAATGTCTCACGCGTTCTAGCATATCGAGACTGGCACTTTAAATTTAAAGGCCATTTAAATTTTCTTCATAAAAATAAGGTCCAATAATTCGGTTACCGAGTATGCCACACCAAACGTTAATCGATAGGACTAGTAGCGACTCCACAGGGGAGGCAGAGGAGGCATTGCATCCCCAAAGAAAAATGTACCTACAAATTTAAAAAAATTGCATTATTAGATTCAAATGATTTAAAAATTCTTTATTACAAATCATAAAGTTTGATTTAGTTTAATATACGTACAGTGCCGGCAATTGCAAGTCGGGCAGTAGTAAATTTTCTATTGTAAAATAAACTTTATTGTTACCTCTAAAAATCCTAGGAAATAAATATATCAAAATATTAGAGACAATATTAATTGTCAAACCTGAACTGTCAATCTTTTCAGAAAACTAAATTATTCTTCGATTAATAACAATGCCACAATTAAGCGTAGCTCAAAAAGCAAGCATAATAACTCTTTTGGAAAACCATTGTTCAGAAAGAAGGGTGGCCCAAAAGTTGCAGGTCACAAAGAGTACGGTACACGACGTCAGAGCCAGGTGGAACCAAAGACATTATCTGGACAGAAAAGTGGGAACTGGTCGGCAACCAGTTTCCACCGAAGAAGAAGAAGATAATAATCTTCGACAATTTTTGGAAGATCACCCTTTTGAATCCGTTGCAACCGCACAACGAGCGACAAATTTCCCAGGCTCAATTAGGACAGCACGTAATCGTGTTAGAAAGACTTCTGATTTGCGAAATTTCTCCGCAGCCAAAAAACCATTTTTAACACAATAATAAAGGCTAATAAAGACCAGAGAATAGGATTTGCATTACAATATTATATTATATAAACCAACATGATAATTGCCCGATTCACACCGCACGGATTGTAAAAGAGTGGATGCAGGAACACAATTTTCGAGTTCTACCTTGGCCTTCCAGGAGTCCGGATTTAAATCCAATAAAAATGTCTGGGTTAAAAAAATAAATTACAGCAATAATTTTCGTCCACAAAACGTTGAAGATTTGTGGGCAAAAACACAAGAAGTGTGGAATCAATTTGCTGCAAACCACGCTTCAAAGGTGGTTGCTTCATTACCGAGAAGGTTAGAGGCAGTTATACAAAAAAATAGAGCGGCTATAAAATATTATTATTTTCTTGTTGGTGTTATTAAAGTTTAATTCAAATATTAATTGGCTTTCATAAACCTAAATTATTGATTTGTCGATAAATTCAAAGGTAAGGATACCGATGATTAGTTACAAACTAGATCACCCTGTAAATAATCAAACATTAATAAAGGTAAAAGCCTGATTTACCAAAATTCTTCAAAATGTCATAAAATATCAATTTGACTGCCCGACTTACAATTGCCGGCACGGTATCTGTTAAATACATGTACCTGTTCAATAATGCAATAAGTTGCTATACCAAAATTTTAATTTTATAATTTACGTACACGAATCTAAACGCTTAATTTTCGTCGCACTACACGTCCAAGAGTGCACGCTGCACGAGCCTATGGTTCGTAAACAGTAGCAGAGGCAGACTATGATTTTGCCTCCAAGATGATAGGCAACATTCATGCAGCTAGGTGTAATTTCTGTCTATAACACGTACCTGACTATGCTTAAAACCATCGTTCAAAATGTATTCGAGGCTGTATACTTCCGAAGTAGCTGTGCCGATTCTAATTCACTTCATCTGCGCATGCGCCATTTCCGGAAATTTGGACCCCCCCACTCCTGGATCCTGGTTCCGGGAATCCGGATCCCACTCCTGGATTCCGGGAATTCCCCACTCCAAATTCTGAGAATTGTGTGCTATTTTTGGATCATAATGTCATGCATTGAATTTGTCTGCGCATACGTCTCTTTGGGGAATCCTACATTGAAAATTATGTAAATCCCCCACTCCAAATTCTGAGAATTGACTATATTACTTAAATAAAACAAATAAACTTGCAATAAACGTTTATTTATATTTAATGTTTATATTTTTGCCCTAACATTTTTAAAAAATCTTCTACTTCACAGTTCAGACAATTTCTTCCTTCAATCTTCGTTTCTCCTTTACATTTGGGGCACACAAATTTCACTGGCATGGGCATTGTGTTGAGAATGAAAAAGCTGTTGCTTATTGATGCTATCGTAGTTAAATTGTTAATGAATAAAGTATGAGTTGGTATATTTATTTCATTCATTTTCGAAAAGTATTGAGTTAATACATTAGAAAAGCAGATAATCTCCGGGAATCCCCTACCACAAATTCTACCCTGATGTCATGACTATTTTTAAATAATGATGTCATGGATATTTTTAGATTGATAAGTCACCGTTCGATGAGACATAGTTACTTTTAGATTGATGAGTCACAACTATTCTTAGATTGGCACCTATCTACCTATATACCTATCTCCTAAAGGTGCCTTTATAAAGCTGTGAACTCAGCTATGGGAATTATTCATTCTTCTTTCAGTTTAGTGGTTGTGTGAATATAGTTTATGTGGAAAAATGAATGATGTTAAAGAATTTCAAAACAACAGTGCAACCACAACGGCAGAAAAAAATAGGAGAGACATTAGATTCAAAATCCCACGTCACAATAATAATCATATTCAAATAATTCAAAACAGTGCAACAACGGTTGGAAGAAATAAGCGTTACGAAGTTTCAAAGTTCATCAACAAAAACAAATGGAGAATTTGAAGAAAATGTACAAGGATCGAGTAAAGTTGCATTTGCTGAATTTGAAGCGATTAAAAGAAGATTTGGAGATATATAAAGTTTTTATAGATTTTAAAAAGGTGTCAATTAAGTAAACATTACTTTGTATTGTAATGCCTTTTCTTTTATTATTTACTTACCGGGCGCCACCGACTTTTTCCTAAAAGTTGGAAAAGAACTATTTGGAGATGTTATCCAGGTCTACACTACATGCCTTTCCGACCAGTTTTTATACAGTGGAGAGGAATGGGGAGGTTCGATTTAATTAAACACAGGTGATTGAAAAGAGAAATTTATTTAGTAACTATAACAACAGTAACAACACATAAAACAAGTAATTTAACAAACTCTAACTTGGACCTAGTGAACCCTAGCCCTTGGAGAAGAGGTCCTCCGCGGGTGAATTTGAGGGGAAAAGTCCCGTCGGTTGTTTTCCTGAAGAGGTCCAGGAAAATGACACCACCTGGAAAAGTCCCAGATGTTAAGCCCTTACCACGGAAGGGATCCCGTGGCCCGTGTTCAGAAGTGAACTCGGCTCCCAGAAGATGTCCTGGGGTAGGTGTGGTTTAACGACGGAAGAAGGTCCCGTCGACCGTATTCTTTGAAGATGTCCAAAGAGCACAGTCCTTCAGAAAAGGTCCTGAAGTTATTCCACCAAGAGAGGTCTTAGTGATTTTCGTCCGAAGAGGTCCGGAAGGAGACTCAAGTGAATCTGCCGGTGTGGCGGCCTGTTATCCTTTATATACCCTTTGAAACGCAACATAATGTTTATTCAACGAATTCTTACACTTTTTAATTAATTAATTGTTTGGTTGATAAAATCATACAAAAAAACGGAAAGTACATGACATAAACAACAGATTAAAATATATTTTTTGCCTTCGGGTAAATTAAACAAAAATAAAAATATATTCTTTAGAAATATCTTTTGCAGTCTAAAATATGTACAACTGAAATAAAGGTGTATTTTGAGGTTAGAAGTCTTTTACCTCTTTCATTACTTCATAATTCCAGGGTTTTTTGGCATCTTTGTTTTTCAAATCATATTCATTTAATTTGTCATAAAACAAACTCTTATGATTATCCATTTTCAATAAGAAAAGTCCAACAATCACTAAATTTTACGGCCCGAAATACTACACAATAAAATTTCAAGCTTTCAGCAAATGACTAAATACACTTTCGTCAAACGCTGTAACATGTAATGGTTGAACCGGTTACTTTGTTTGACGAGAATTAAGTAGGCAATCCCTGAAATGACGTAAAATTTCAGTCAAACAAAGGAATATTCATTTGATTACAGCGTCTGCCGGCAGTACGGCCAAAGACTAGGCTTTCCGCGGAATGACGCATTTCGCCCAATGACTACGACATATATAAGTATCCATAATGAACTTTGAAATATTAAATGTAAATGAAAAAGCTGTTTTTGATACATCAACGAAAAACAGAAAAACGAACGCATCAACCATACGCGTCCACTTCTTTCAATTTGAATGATGAAATACGATTACCAATTGAACATCAAGATGTGTATACTCTTCCTTGGTTGAGTATATTGAAGGAAAAGTAATCGCAACAAATGATAAACATGAAACCATATTCTCACCAAACGTCAGATTTGCTAATAATCGTATAATGTTAATGTTTGATGAAGTAAGATATGAGTTTGCTGGTAATGTAGTTGATAGAGTACGAAATCCTGGCTTAGCTTCAATTATGAAAGGTTATGCAACGTACGATGCTAATGAAAGTGTTGCACTTCAAAATGCTGGATGGTTTCCCAAATCTTCATTAACAATTATTGATCAAGACTCTGGTTACTTTAATGTAGTTATTCCATTGAGACTAATATTGGGTTTGTGTGAAGATTTTCGGAAAATAATATTGAATGTTCGACAAGAACTTGTTCTAGTTCGAAGTAATACTGATCTAAATGCTCTAGTTGTTAGCGATGACTCAGTACATAACGTGAAAATTAACATTTCAAAAATCTTTTGGAAAATGCCTCACATAACAGTTTTGGATGCAGAACGTTTACGTCTAATTGATACGTTTTCAAAAAATCGTGACCTAGATGTTCATTTTAGAAGCAGAGAATTGCATGAGTATCCTTTGTTACCGCCAACTCAACGACATACGTGGTCTATTAAAACATCAATCGAAAAACCACAATACATATTTTTTGGACTTCAAACTGATAGAAAAAATCAACTTTCTAAAGATTACAGTCACTTCGATCRTTGTAATTTGAGAAACGTTAAAGTCTATCTCAATGATGAAATGTATCCTTATGACAACCTAAATTTAAATTTCAATAGTAATTCTTTTGCGACGTTATATGAGATGTTCATAGAATTCCAAGCATCATTTTTGGATAAAGTGGGGGAACCAATCTTCACACAAGAATTCAAGACCATTGCGCCGATAGTAGGTGTTGATTGCACCAAGCAAAGCGAAGTGCTCAAAAGAAGTCCTGTTTCCATTCGACTTGAATTTGAGACWAGAACCAACATCCCAGGGAAGACTACAGCTCATTGTCTAATTCTACATGATAGAGTAGCGAAATATATTCCAGCTCAAGGTGTTGTTCGTGTGGTGTAATAATTTAATATGTAYTATTATATTTACTACATTATTTCCTTTTTGGTTTTGTTTTTTTAATGTTTGCTTATCTTAAGTATCTATCAAGGTAACCTTAAGTTGCTGTTCATATGTTATATAATATTTAATATGTTATCTCTAGTATCTTAGGTAATGTAGGATAAATTTTACTATGTAGGATAAAGTTGTTTAATAAAATACAYATAAAACTTCTATATTGTTTTATTTCACAAACATAATAAAATACATTATRGAAAAATAGAAAACATTACATAACTATTGTTAACAAATTGTAAGTACCCTTATAATCATTTTAGTGGATGGCCATCTTGCTGAATCCCCTCCAGAGSTCCAACCTAAATGTGCTTTGGGATCTTCTTCTCCTTTTGCAATGTTTTTTCCTAACCAGTCCAAAATTTCTCGATGTTTTCGATTCTCCAGTGGATCGAATTTGTATGATAAATCCGTCATAGTTAAAATTCCAATAAATCTTTTTAATGGTTTATAATTAGCTAAATAACTGGCTTCACAAATAAACGTATTAACACATTCATACGTCTTTTTATAATTTGTTTTAATATTTTGAATATTATAATAATGATAAATTGCATCATTTTGAAACCATCACTGCGATTTTTTAATAATTTTAAGAAATATAATTTAAATTGTTTAGTWTCACTTGTTAAAAAGTTTTCCAACTCATCAAAATTAATATAATTACGTTGTGCATGCTTTAAGTCATCTAATAATTTTTGAATATATTCATCCATCTTCAGTTKTTTGTTGATCATTAAATGTACATCCCTTAGACGAGGAACTGCATAACTTCGAGCAAGCCACAACCAAGCATTTTCGGGAATTATRAAATCTTCTTTTTTAAGTAGATAACTCAGCACTGGTTGTTCATCTTCATAGTTCTTAATTGTTTTATAAAAATTGACTTCATATACATGTTGATGAGCTTCAAATGCTTCATATTCAATTTGATAACTTCGAGTCACGAGTAAAGTTTCTTCTGCTTCAGATTCTTGGGACTGGTGATGAAACATTTTTTACTGCAACTAAATCATTACAATTAGATTACTTCTTTACATAACCCTTCCCCCACCCCCACACTTCAAGTTGGATTAATAATATATCCCCAAGGTCTTGTATCTGTAGTATCTCTTAACAATATACGCTTATCATCAAATGGACTTAAGACTACTTTTTCTTGTTTTATAGAATATACAGTATGTTTTTTGGATCTAATAAGTCTTTGTGTACTATGGAAGATATCTATATCAAACAAACATTTTTTATAATCATCAAACGTAATTTGTTTAATAGAAGATTTTGTACATCCTTTTGATTTTTTTACAAATTTTTTGCGTTTTATAGGTGGAGCTACTTTATTGATATTATTTTCATAGTTATCTTCTTCATTTTCATTGTCTGAATCAACTGCATATGAATACATTTTAGATCGAAGGCCAACAAATTCAAGCATAATTTTACCATGATTTTCATCTTTCATTAATCCTGGACATTTCTTGTTTTTAAGTTCAATACCATATTTATTATCAGGTTTATAATCAGAGGTATCAAAGCGATGAATATCTTCTTTAATATGTTTATAGATATCTACAGTTCTAAAATGATAAATTAAACTATCGGTGTCTGTGTAAACCAATTTTGCATTACTACCAAATTTATGTTTAATATAATCATAATGAAATCCATAAAGAAATATTTTTGAAATATCTAAAATACAAAAACCAACATAAATAGGTTTATTTAGCACCACATTTAATTTGTTCATTTCAACTATTGTCATATCTTCTTCAAATATAATTGAACTATGAAAATTTGGTTTTGAAATTAAATCCCGCATGCCGTACCTACCATCCCATCTCGTTACTATTCGAATATCTTTATGTTTACGTACATTTTCCATACATTTACCATAGATAGCGTTAATCATTAATTTAAAAAAATCTTTCTCAAATTCATTCTGTGATTGCTGCCTTAAACGTGTATTTAAATCAATATATTCTTTAAGCCATGGACTTTGTTTGAATGTTAGAACGCGATGTACTTTAGTAATTTTCATATCAAGTCTTAAATACATTTTTAAATTGCGATAGTGGATTATGTAGTTATTTTTGGAAATAATGTTAATAGCAATTTCTGTAATTTGGATTTGGAATTTGGTGGTCTTAAATGTTATGGTGCTAAAGGTAGATCACTATGTAAATCATGTAAAGAAAATGAATATTCTAAATCACATTCTATTATATAACCATCACTCGAAGTATCTGATGTATTTAAAATTTCTGTAATATTGAAGACATCTAAAAATCGAAAGTCAGCATAAGGTAAATACTGAGACATTGCTGCACCATAGAGATTGTTTACATCAAAATACATGATAAATGAAGTTTCGTTATTTGGATTATATCCATCTTTCATGTATTGGTTGTTGGCTTTTGCGTATCTATTACTACATTGTGAAACACCTCCTCTAATACCCCGCTCGATAAACATGATCATATCTATATCATTTAAGAGCTCTAAACATATTCCGGTTGATTTTAGCATAGCATCAAAAGTTAATCCAAGAAGAGTAAAGTAATGAAGTGGATCTAATTTATAAGTATTCAAACATGTTTCCCTAAAAGTTTCAAAAACATCAACTAACAAAATAACATCAGTGCGTAGGTATAAATCACTATATTCTCCTAATGTTTGAATTTTAAATGTCTGCCACACAGTTTCTGCATGTTTATAACTATCTTCAGTTATATCAGAGCCATGCATAATACTATAAAAATCTTTTTTTGTTGGTAATTTTATTTCTTCAAGTTTATCCCAGATATCAAGATAATCATATGGAAAAACACCTTTTTTAATTAATAAATTGAATTCTTCTTCTGTATGACAATATTTGTGTGTTATTATTTTTTGTTCAG